ACATGCGATGACTCACCGGCCCAAGAGTGAGGAGGAGACTCAGCCCAAGTGATTCCGTCAGGTAACGAAGGGAAGGGGGAGGAGTCTATGTCCGTGACGTCACCGGACTCCTCCCTCCTTCCCTTCGTTACCCATCACGGACAACTACATCACCCGACTCCTCCCCCCTTCCCTTCGTTAGCCGACAGAGCCACTCGGGGAAGGGGGGAGGAGTCCGGTGACGTCGATGTCCGTGACGTCACCGGATCTCCGACGGAAGACCCGGAAGCCGGCGGAGAGGTGAGTAACTTTGATCGATCAAAATAATTTTGATCGATCAAAGAAATTAACGATTTATTGACGGCACACCAGAAAATATCTCACGGCACACTGAATTGGCAATATTTCTTTATATATGTAAATAAGAATTACTTGAACTTATTGCACACATTGGAACTAACAATGAAAACATAACAGGGTTTTCATAAGTTTAGTGCAAGACTTCTGACTACATACACAAGGCCAGAAATGCATTGCAAATGCCTTAGTGAATCGTTCCCGTATTTTTTTAACACAAAAAAAATCATAATCATTTGCGCTAATTTTACTTACAATGCTCAACAAAGCTAAGCATTCTTTTGTTGTTTTGTGAGAGTTCTACTTTGAAGCAATCTTCAAGTAAAAAAAAATAATAATCAGAGTTGTTCCTATTTAACCTTGTTAACTCTTAGTTGACCCAAATCATCTCTAATAAACTCCTCCATCCCCTTCTTCCTTTAGGGTTAGGGTTTTTTTTCTTTTTTACCATTTATTTGTAAATATTTCTGTTTTCATTAGTTGTATATGTTCTTTTTTGTTGTGTTTTATTCAATTTCCCCCCTCTGTTCGTGTTTCCTTTCCTGCACTGTACACATTCTGTAAACTCTTGCAGGAACTTCCCGTGGATGTCTGCATACTCCGGCAGTGGCTGAACAACACTATTTTACTGTGTTGACTACAGCAGAATGTGCCAGCAGACTATGTGCAGACATGGCTACTTGGAGTCCAACTCAGGAGTGTGCAGGAAAGGGGGACACACTGCAGGCGAACTGAGTAAGTGTTGTCATCCCAGGACATGAAGTGGCAGTGGATACAGTTTGCTATCCACAGCCACTTCATGGTCATATGTCCTAAATTAAGCAGGACATGTAGAAAAAAGGAATTACACTTCTCATACAGTAGAGCAAGGGTAGGCAACCTAGGCACTCCAGCTGTGGTGAAAATACAAATCCCATCATGCTTCTGCCTCTGGGTGTCATGCCCGTGGCTGTAAAAGTTTTGTCATGTTTCATGGGACATGTAGTTCCACAGCAGCTGGAGTGCCGAGGTTGCCTACCCTTGCAGTAGAGACATGGTAAAGGATTACTAAAGGCTGGGCGTTTCTTACCTTAATACGTTCTCTGTATTAGGGTAAAAAACGTCCAGTAGCTTTTTGAGTACCCTGCACCCCCCCACACTTACCTGTCCCCGGGTCCCTGAAGCGATCCTCCGTCCGAACTTCCTTGCGGGGGAGAAGATTGAGGGCAGAGGAGCCATAGGCTTCTTCTCCCATCAATCAGCCTGTGTGGCGGAGAGAAAGAGCGGGGCCTGCCTCAGTTCTGTGTGTGTCTATGGACGCACAGAGCTACTTGCGGGCTCGGCTGGGCAGGAGCACGCACGGGTGCCTTCATTGCTCAGCTTAGCTGATGGAGTCACCCATGCAGGGGGCAGGGGGAGAGTGCTGCGGGGAGCTATTAGAAAATGAGGAATTAAACATTTATAATAAATAATGAAAATGATTTCTTGAGGTATAGGCCTCATATTTATAAAAATTAAAAAACCCCATGAAGCTTTATTATCACTTTAACTGACATTTTGTGTAGATCAGAGGACATGCCTTTGATCTGCACATAAAAGAAGTGATCTAAATATGTTGTAACAATACACTTGTTACAACATATTTAGAAAGAATCCCTCTGTGTAAATATAATGCAGAAGCTGTTCAGCAGCAGAGATAAGAACAAGGCTGTCAAACTGGCACTGGTCCTGGTAATTTCACTTTATCATACCAGGGTATGAGATGTACACCTAAGATATTTAAATGAAGTAAGGCTATACCTCATACGCCCAAGATCCACACCTGGTTAAACCAGTTTGTACATCATACGTGTGGTTTTACTTTCAGTACATTTGCTCTCTAGTCTTGGTAACTGGATATTCACCTATGTTAATGTTATCATTTCAGATAGCAACAGACAAGTAACAATGATGATCTGCAAACCAAACAGACATCATGATGAAAAATGTTTACAACATTTCAGTTTGTCCATTGAAAGGACCTTGGCTGAGTCAGTTTATCATTGTGTTTGCCATTTGTCTTGATAGTATATTTTACTGCAGATGACAGATTCCTGCAATAATAATTGTTAGGTATACACTATACAATTAGAGTGTCGCCTAGTTAATATGACGTGCAATGATGCCGCTGACGTCTCAATCAAGGTCGCACCCTTCTTGGTGACATGTCAGGCCTGCTGTTATCAATCCTAATACGCCTTTGGTGTTTAGTTTTACTAATAGTTATTATCTTTTAGTGCTTTGTAAACATCACTTCATGGAAGCGTGTGTGTCACTGTTTAGCACAGCTGCAAACCTGAACATTGGCAGCAGCTGATCAGTTCTATACAAAGGCCCCTGGTGTCTTGTAAAGCAAATATGACAAAAGGAAGAGAAATAGCCAGTAAGGTATGAATCAGGCCCAGCCTTTGGAAGAGAAACAAATAAATATTACATGAAGACACAGCTGTTCAGTGCATTGCAGACAGACGCAACATGTCTGCCGTGTATTGTACTGGGTGGACAATCTTCATAAACCCATTTGTCTAAATGACTGGCCAGCCGCTGTTTACCATCTAGATGCCTATCTTGGTGATGTCTGATTCCTGCTGACTCTTTGCCAGCCGACCTCACTTCTATATTGTTATTCCTACCAGAGCAGCAGAAGCACGGCATGTTTATAGGACATATGTGCAATGTCAGGAGTTGGCTGCTTTTCAGAGCATCTGTAAAATGCTTGCCTGACCTCTTCCATGTTTTTCTTCCTAGTAATCGGACCAGCTTTATCTCCCCAGAAAGCGACTGTATTAGCTCAGCAAATATCTTTGCCAGTTCTGTCTCAGGAGAAGAGGACGAGAGCTATATTCCAATGGTAATCATCTTCTGCATGCTCTGGCTTTGTTTTATACAACACAGACTAATATGGTGACTCAGTTGTTATACTGAAAATAATGCTATGAACAATATACAGTAACACTACAATAGCCTTTTTAGCTGCACTTATTAGTAACTCCTTATTCCTACTGCTGGTATGGGATAACTTTGTATTGTATGCATTAAAGAACAACTCAAACCGAAATGGTTGGGGGGAGCGGGGTTCTCCCTCCTGTCTGTAAAGGAAATCGAACATGTATGGCAGGGCTCAAAATTTCAAGTCCTGAGCTACTAGCCAGGCCTTAAGAGTTACTCGCCACCAGTCGCCCCACCTGACCCCTACCGTGCCCCGCCCTTAACTCCGCCAGGTCAGTGGTGTGACACAGAGAACAGAGATCAGTAACAATGCAGAGTGCAGAGGCCAGTGGTGTGATGCAGAGTACAGAGGTCAGCAGTGTAATGCAGAAAAAAGCAATGTATCCTCCATGTCCCAGGTGTCCTGCTTCTCCCGTGCTGTCCTTCCTGCCAGTAGCAGCTCTGCAGTCCTCCTCCCAGCCTATGGCAGCTGAGGTGGGCGGAGGAAGCTG